TTGAAACCATTTGACAATATCATGACAAAAGAAAAGAGAAAAAGAACACAGTCTCAAAGATAGACACATTAAATAGATAGATAGAAAGAAATTGAAAGGAAAAGATAAAGAAAAAGATAAAGTAAAGAGAGACTATAACAAAACAAATTATTAAAAGAGAGTGTATAGCTGTTTTAACAGACTATATCTGATTGATTTCCTTCTCTTCATATTCAGATAATTCTGAATTTAGCCATTTTCTTGTAGCTGCTTGAGTTTCTGATAGAAAGTCTATTAAGTATTTAATTCCTGTCTCAGTTGAGAATAAGAATCTCATATTTAATTAATTTAGATCATACTTCTCTTTCAATCTGGCTCTGAGACTATTGTATAATGCACAGTGCATTACAATATACTCAGGATTCTCATTTGTATTGCAGAATGAGCATTCTATTGAGTCAAATCTATCATCAAATCTTTGTATATAAGATTTGAAATAGCCATGTCCTAGTTTCAGCTGTATTATAGATGAGAATATTTTCTTTTTACATTTAATTGAACAAGATTTCCACTTGAGTTTTGTTTCAAATCTTGAATAATGTACACTCTTCTTTTGTTTCTGCCAGCTTTCATTCCACTTGTCTAAACAAGATTCTTTTATTTTTCTCTTTATAAAAGACCAGGACACAATTTTTTGAATAGATCTGCTTAATTCTGCACCCTTTTTTGCAGCTGAATCAGCCAATTCATTGCCATGAATATTCATATGAGCAGGAACTCAGTGCAGATGAATTATCAGCTTTGATATTCTTCTCTTTTGAATTTTCAAAACAGAGTTTAAGATCAGTTCAAGATTCATTTGATCATTATGAATCTGACTATTTCTAAGTCTTTTTAAAGCAGCTTGACTATCAGAGAATATCCATGCCTCTTTCAAATAATTTCCTCTTTTATGAGATTTTATTTCAATGAGTTTGAAAGCTTTCACTATTGCAAATAGTTCAGCATCAAAGACTTCACATTCAGAGCCTAGATTCCAGAAATCTGAGATAAAATTAATATTATCTTCAGTATAAGCAATGCCTGCACCTAATCTATTCAAGTTCTCATTTTTTGAGCCATCTGAATAAATCGGAATAGAGTCTTTTATATTGATTGTAGAAATTCTCTTCAAATGCTGTTTATATTCTTTCTCTTTTGATAGTTCACTTATTTGTAAGTCTATAAGAGATTCAAGCTTTTCTCTCCAGAGAGATAACTTCTCATGATCAACTTTTTCAACATTTAAAGAAGAAAATTGATTTTTAATCAGAGAGCATAGTCTGTACAGTTGAGAAGGCATTTTCTTTGAAGAATTATTTTTATTTCAATCAAGAAATCTATTCCAATCCAGTTCATTTCCAGAGTTAATTGATGGAAATCAAGAAGAGACTCTTTCTCTGATTATATGATTTGAGCTCATCTTTGCAACTCTCAGAGCATAGTTCATACAGACCTTTTCAAATCTAATAGCAGGAGAAGGAATTGAAGCTTCAATTTCCATTGCTTTAATAGGAGATGATTTGAATGCTCTCAGAATTCTTCTCAAGGCTCTGTTTTGCAGACTTTGAAAGAGTTCAGTGAAATTCCCTTGATTATTCCACCAAACTTGAACTCCATAATCAGCTACTGATGTAATACAGGCTATATATAACTGTCTCATAGTCTGGAAGAATAGACCCCTCTCTGTATTTGATAGTCTGATTATGTTGTTCAATAGTCTTTCTGCCTTGACAGTTCTTTGTTGAATGTGATATTTAAAATTCAACTTGGAGTTTAACCATACTCCTAACCATTTGACATTTACACTGGGTTTAATCTCTCTATTTAAAAGAGGACTGTAGATAGTAAGTGTAACATGATAAAGAGCAGTCTCAAAGTAGCAGACTTGCACATGAGTCAGATTGCAGAAGAAAAAGGAATTCAGAGTTGAATTCAACTGTTTACATCAGTTCAATTATGAAGATAACAGAGAATGAAGCATCTAAAACATTTATAGATATATAAGATTAAGTTATCTCAATTTCTGAGAACACTCAGAGATCAGATGAGATTAGTTTTAATAGGTTATTCACTGTAGTGATCTGAGTGAGTGAAGAGAGACAGTATAATGCATAAGATAGAATCACAAAAGATGAAAGCTGCTGAACCTAGTCACTGAATACTGTATTATATAGAGATTGTGTAAGAGTAGTGACTAGCAGATAAAGAAAAAGTGTAAGAAAAGAAAAGAGATAATGAATTGATTATTAACTGTAAGAGTCAGCTGTAAAAGATAAATATTATCATATACATCTCATTCATTTTTATATGTCACATGTTAATCTATTTCCAATGCCATATCATCTGAAAAACATCAAAAACAAAGAAATCCTCAAAACTTAACATCTGTAAGAGATTCAAGAGCTGTAAGTCACTCTTACAATAACACTGTGTATATCTCTGATTTCTCTATCACTCTGCATACAACATTAATATCATTTATTACAAGATTAACTGAAATGCTAATATAGAAATGTGTACATGTACATGTAGAAAAATTGAAGAAGAGCACCAAATCTGCAGAATTAGAAGCCAGAGCAGAGAGAGTAGAGATGAAAGAAACAGAAGAAGAAGAAGATACAGAACTGAATAAATAATAGCAGAAGTCACTCAGAGCTAAATGCTTACAATCTGATATATACATAATCTTCTCTGCAGAAGAGAGAGAGAAAGCAATAAAAGAAGCTTAGAAGTGAGAGAGAGTAGTCTCAGCAGTGTTATCATCTTCAATTAGAATGATCTCTGACACTGAAGCAACTAAGAATCATTATTAGTATATAAAAATTACAAAATCAGAGATGAGAATAGTTACTGAATAAACACTCACTAATCTTAGAGTTGTACATATAATTACAATATACATGAGACTTCTCAGAAAGAGAGAGAGAAACAGAGAAATACAGAAAGCAGAACACAGTGTGTGAATAGCTTATTCTCATAATAATATCTCAGACAAGATGTATAAGTCTCACATCTATGAGTGTAAAAAAGTATGACATCTGCATTCTCATTTCTGAAAACATGAATATCTTTCACCTGCATCATGAAGTTAGATAACAGATATTAGAGAATAAACTGATACAGATCTATTATTCTGAAGAAATTCATCAGAGTGAATATCTCTGCAATATTGAACTTTACAGTTATGAAAAGTTTCTTGATATCTATGAATATCATGACTTTATATATAGTAAAACTCATAACAATTTTCTCTAAGAACAGAAAAATCAGTGTCAGAAAGAAAAGATGAAAATGAAGAAGAAAAAGACTTATAATCTTAACACTGTTAAGAGAGAGAGTGATTCTCTGATATGAATGAACAATTGTCTTATCATGAATATTTAAAATGAATATAATAATCAGCATTTATAACTGAGCTTCAGATAGTCATGTTATATACAGTCTTTATATAATAAATTATTCTGAGAGTCAGTAAGAAGAACAGAAGTATATACACTGAGAAACATAATTCATTAAGTCTACACAACATCTTCTTGAAATGAGAAGAGCTGGTAATGAAAGCAGAGATGATAAAACCAGAAGTAGTGAGAGTGAGAGTCATGAGAACAGAGATAGCAGAAGTGAGAGAATCAGACACAGAGATAAGTGTAGAAGATTGAGAGAAAATAGCAGAGAAAGAAGTAACAGAAGAGATAGAAAGAAACACAGAAGACTCAGTTATATATAACACAGACAATTTCTTCATTATTACATTCTTCAAGTTCTTAATTAATAATTCAATATTGAGGTCACTATCATTGATAAATACAGATCTGTCAACATATGAAGATTCTATATAAATAAAAACAAATATATCAGTATCTGCATTTATATAAAATCATGTTAGAAAACACAATCAGAAACTCACTGAGAAGAAAAATGATTAAGAGTGTATAAGAAGATGAAGAAGATATGTCATTCATAATAATATTGTAATATGACGGAACCGAAGCAGTAGCTAGTCAGCGGTGTTATGAAGAAGTAGTTGTTTGAGAAGCTGTATAAGTGAGCTTGACTATCTTACTTGAATAGTGAGCTTGTAGGCTACAGAGTTATTGTGAGAATATCACAGATATAATACTTAGTATACTAAGAAGATTATATAAGACACGCAGTAACTCTCATATATATTTCTATAGAAGAAAAAATGAATCACTGACTTCTTTTATAAGAAGTCAGCATCTAGCTATTCTATATAGATAATGAGTGAATATCTTCTCTTATTTCATAAGTGAGAATAGCTGAAGTAATATCTCAGCAGTGTCTTACTGTTAAGAAAAAGTAATCTGCTGATCTCATATAGAAGTGAGATTCTTATATTCATCAATCAGATCTTTTTATAATATATCTGAATAATGTTATAAAGTGATTGAAAACTAGTTCAGACAGAATGAAATTATCTGTATGAAAGTGATAAGCTGTGTGAAACTGTAACAGAGTCTTGACATAGCTAAGAGTGTGACAATGTTCTTCTCTTTAAAAGCATAGTCTCAATACTCTTAAGATTACTGAATTAGAAATTATCTTTGTTATATAGCAACAGTTATCAACTGATTTGACAGTGTGTGTACTGCATATGATATAAAGAAATAGATAAGTTTTTCTACTGACTGTGTAGATCTTTCTTTTCTCATCTTTATTCAAATTAAATACATGATAAGTGAGTTTCTTATATATTGATTTAGAATATAAAAAATGTAGTGAATAAGTGACTTACAGATCTCTCAATATATTTCATTCTATATATGAAATTCTCTGCAAAAGTGATGTATTTTAGAGACAAAGCTAACAGTAGTAACAGGATTTTTTAAAAAGATCTCTCTCTCTCATAATACATTTTTCTCCCTCTTCTCATCTGTAATAGTAAGTGTATGAGAGCATCATTCTTTAGAGATAATAAGAGGCTTATTCTGACATTTTCTAGTGAATAATAAATGTCTTCATAGTGCAGCTGCGGCCTTCGTGACTGCTAAGAAAGCCAGGTTGAAGGTGAAGACAGTGGTGTCACTGAGCTGCAGAAGTACTGCTCTCATTGCCACATCTCCTCCTTCTTCTCCTACTTCTCTTACAGCTGTGACAGTAGTTATCATACCTTGCATTGAGATGTCATTTCTTCTGCTAGTTAATTTATCTGTGTTCAGTTCTTTCTCTGCTTTCTCTGCTACTGTTGCAATGCTGCTCTTCTTCTCAGTTAACACAGTGATGTATGACTCTGTGTGATTATTCAGAGAGAAATCTGAAGAGAGCTTGATTTCAGAGACAGTAACTCTGAGAAGTTCAATCTATAGTTTCTCTCTCACAGTATATCTGAGCTCTGCTCAGAATACTGCTAGATTGAGTCTACAGAGTTCTGTAATTTCTTCATCTTCTCTCTGTGAGAAGGCTTCAGTGTAGTCTCTGACTAGTACTGCTACTTATCTACACTACACTAAGTAGCTGAAGAAGAGAGGAATTTTATATATTCATCTCTTCTCTCACTCTTATTATTTTCATTATATCTGTAACAATAACTTCTGTCTTTCTATAAGTATTATCTCATAGAAAGATATTGTATTAACTCTGATAAGAAGCTCAAATACTTAAGTAGTACAGAGTAAGAGTCTCAGAGCTTTAAGTATTGATAGATTTTATCAAGACTGAAGAGATCTCTCTTACTCATCTGTAAAAGAAGATGAAAGTATGAATTTCTGAGATGAAAAAATATCTCAGAATGACTGATTCTAAGAAGAGATTATCTGATGCTGCTGTTAAAAGCACTATAAAGATTAATCACTGATTGAAGAGAATCTCACTTCAATTAAAGTAGATAACTGAGATACTTTATAAATTAATAAGTTAATACTTTAAGTATCTCTTATACTCTTCTATAGCATGCTTTTCTATGATACTGCAGTACTAACTTCTCAGCAGATAATAATATCAGTATCAGAGACTTTAATAGTAAAGAATGAGTTTGATGAGAGTGTGATTATTGATGAGTAGACTCTGAAGTTCTCTCTTTTTACTTTTTCAGTAAGCTACAGTCTTATTAGAATAGCAGTGACTCATAGATTAATAATATTAATCTTTTTATTAGTTTCAAATATTTCTTTTCTTTAACTGCTTCAGGAATTTTACACTTATATAGTCTCATTAAACTTCTAAAAAATCCTTTGAGAGAAAATAGAAGAAGAGTGCTATAGAGCTTATAAGATATCAGCTCATCACTGTGAGATCATCTCTAAAAAAATTCTTTAAGAAAAAATAAGAAGTCTTAAGTAGTATTTCTTATTCAATATCTTCAGTATATAACAGAGTGATCTCTACTAGCTGTCTTATAGCTTACAATCTCTTTCTCAGCATTTTTCAAATACTTAAGTGATTTTCATGAATTCTCTGATAATAAATAATCTTCTTATTTAATAAGATATTGAAGCTTGCTGTAATATATTTATTTATTTAATATTTTCTTTATAAGATATTCAGTATTACTCTTAATCTTAATATTATCTGACTAAGACAGCTCTGCTCTGAAGTATTACTTATAGAGCTTTAAATAGAAAATATGAAAAATAGAATGAATTGATTTCAATTCTGAGAATAATTTCAACTTATATATCTGCTTACTTATCACTCTTATTACTGAGAAAGATTCTAGTTATCACTTATTAAACTTCTTATACAGTCTTATTATCTTAATATTCTTTGCTGAAAGTAGTACTTAATTCTCTATTAAGAACTTCATTAAAAGATGTTTTCAATTATAGTATTCTATCTGCTACTTCTGAGTATAATAAATACTTTTCACTATCTTCTTATGAATTTTATTTAAAAGTTTCAATCTTACTTTTACTTCTAATACTGAGAAATACTTTATTCTCTGTATCTATTCAATATTCTGACTGTCTATTCTTCTCTTTGAAATATCATTCATGATATCACTGAGTAATGAAGAATTGTATTCATAATAAGTATAGAAAGAAAATATCTTTAAGATTATATTCTTTATATTATTATATATGAATTCAGCAGTCAGAAGATGTTTAAGTTAATCATTCTGATAATATAAATAGAACATTTAAAGATACTGTTTTAGTATCTGATTCTGATGTTCAGTCTGATTATCTATCTGCAGATGAAATGTGATACTGAGAAGACATTTTATTATAAGATAATAGTAAAAAGCTGATTAGTATTTACTGATAAAGAGAGATTCTTGATCTATTATCAATGATTTCAGAGCACTGTAATTATGAATAATAATATCTAAAAATAGATCAGTTAATTCAGAGACTTTAATCTTTTTATAAATAGAAATATATCTGATTATCTTTATAAAGTGATTAATAATGATTAAAATTGAGTTATATTCTTTGACTCTTATCAACTTCAGCAGGTCAACTATGAAATTCATTGATAGATTCTATCATAGACTCTTTGAAACAGACAGTGATATTAACTCACTGTATTACTTATACTATGAAATCTTTATTCTTTGATAAATATTATAAGTTTTAATATACTCTTTAACATCTACTCAGAGCTTGTCTTAAATATATTTATATTTTAGAAGCTTCTCAGTCTTCTCTAATCTGAAGTATCTTATATGAGAATTATTGTGATGAATTCTTAATAACTTCTAATACATTACTCTACTATAAGAGACAAAGACTGAATTATTCAGCAGTAGAAGTTCATATTCTTCTAGTTATCAGTGACTTGATTTCTTAACAGCACTATTCTACTCAGAGTCTGTCTCTTTCAAGTTTAAACTGAATTCTTTCTTCTTCAACTTCTGAATTCAAGCCATAGTAGAGATATCTCTTTTCTATAACTTATCAATGAATTTCAAAAGTAGTCAGATTGAAAGATTGTAGACTATTTCATTCTTTATCAATTCAATAATTATAAGACATGATATGAGAAGCTTATAATCTTCAGTGTCAGTTCTCTACAGAGATTCAGGTTTTCTTTCATCTTCTATACTGAGTTATACAGCTGTCTTATCAGTACTGTTTTCAAGCTTTGAAGAATCTTAATCCTCTGTAACCAGCTTCTTCTACAGTGATGACAGAGATTCTTTTATAGAATTCTTCTCTGCATCAATGATATTATAATCAGATTATCTAGACAGTGTATCAGCAGAATTAAGCTGATCTGAATAATATCAGATATAGAAATTATACTCTGAAAGCAGCTTCACTCACCTGGCTTAATGTTCTGTCAAGCTCTTTGTTATCAAGAAGTAATGCAGATTTGCATAATCAGTGAGAACTTACACTGAGTACTTATTACTCTGAAGATAATGTTGTCAGATCTTAAAGAATTTGACAATTACTAATATCTTCTGATTATAAGTATCATATCTTCTCTGTATAAGTGATAACTTCTTAAAGAAGAAGACTACTGCTCTTCATTTACAGTATTTTATAGACTCTGTAAAAAAGTCTTCTCTCACAGACAACTCATTATCTGTATTCTTAAAAGTGATTATCTTCTGATTCTTTCAATATTGAAAGGCCTTCAGTGTCAACTGTGAAAAGATTTCACAGATCTTATTTCTGAATGTATCAGTCTCACACTGACTGAGTAAGTTGAGATTAAAGTGATTCAGTATTGTAATATCTGTAAAAGCTTGTTTTAATTCTGTTAACATCTGTACAGTGTCTTGAGTGAGAGTAAACAGTTCTATTTTTCTGTCTTTCACACTTCTCTTTAACAAATCTGTAAGAGAGACAGTAATCTGTGAATATATATAGATGAATTATCTGTAGAAATTTATAAATTCTAGAAACATCTGCATCTTACAGTATGTTCACAGTGTTGATCAGTTCTCAATGATGAAGACCTGGCTTCTATTCATTGAAATGCTGTTTATCTTAATAATATAATCTAAGAAATCAATCTTCTGCATGTAGAATGAGCATTTTTCAGTATTTGTATAGAGTTAATACTGTCTCAAGTGACTCAACACTTCTCAAACATGAGTATCATATTCCTTCTCTGATTTTGAGAAGATTAAAATGTCATTCAGATATACTATGCAGAAGATGTTGATAAGACTCTGCAGTATCTTATTTATATAGATCTGAAAGATGACTGAAGCATTACAAAGATCAAAAGATAAGACAAGATATTCAAAATTGCTGTACTTGATATGAAAAGCTGTTTTTCAAATGTTATCTTTGTTAACTCTGATTCTATGATAGATATTCTGTATATCAATCTTTGAGAACATCTTTGCTTCAGATAATTGATTGATCATCTCATCAATCAATAATAATGAATAGTGATTCTTAACTGTCATCTTATTAAGATCTCTGTAGTCTATGTACAGATGTAGTCTATCATTCTTCTTGAGTACAAAGAGTATAGATGTCTCTGCTGAACTTTTTAATAAATGTATTCAGTTCTTTAATTGCACTTCTTTAAGATATTTATGCAGAATATTCAATTTCTTTACAGACAAGTTATAAAGAAGTCTGTACAGTGCTATTACACTGTCTTTAAGACAAATCTTATATTATATCTTGATGTCAGGAAACTTTGCTGCTTCTCTTTCTGAAAAGACATTCTTATAATCTGTAAAGAGACATTATATATGTCTATCTTCAATGATGAATACTGCTACTAATCTTACAGCAAGAATAATGACTTCTTCATCTATCTTCAAGTCTCAATCACCTGCTACATAGTATATTGACTCTATCTTTTTCTCAAGATTCTTCTGATAAAACTCTTCAGATTTCTCTATCACTGTCTCTTCATTAGTGAGGCAGTACTGTCACATCTGAGTAACTCAGTCAATGAGAGAATTGTTTTCTCTCAATCATAGATTCATAGAAGATCTAGAATAACATTCTCATCTATGATGTTAACTATGTGAAGAAGCAGACTGCTTTTCTTGAAGATTTCTTCTGAGTCTGTGATCACATACTTGCTTAAATTATGTTAAAATAGTGACATTTTATTTCATCAGTAAATTTCATATAATCTGATAAGTCTATTTTCTTCTAACTCTTCATCAAAGAAAAGAAATAGAATATGAAGTTAATATCTACTTTGAAGTCAAGTAGATATCTCACTGATATCTTCTCATTCAGAGTATGTATTATAATTG